TATGACGTGAGGGTTTGTCAACCCATTTCCTTCCATTTGAGTAGTAGAAGGCATTAATTTTTCTTTGGAATAAGGAAAAGGAAAACGGTTCTTCAAGGGCGTTTGTCTTCCACTGATTAACATTCTATATCTCACTACAATATGAGGAAGATACCTTTTTTTGGGTTATTGGTCACTTGATAATTCCGTCAATCTTTCCCATATTACTAGTTTCTTTATTTAGCATCATCGCTTAAGGTGGATCGGTCAAAAAGTAGCATTATTATTGGTGTTGACACACATCCCACAAAGGTGCTTTCTATGGCTTGCGCCGGCTAAATTACGAAGCTTTCTTATTTTCGCTAACCTATATTGGCCTCCTTAGTAGGATTTCAATAAAAATATCATCCCCATGATCTCTATCATCAAAAAATTCAAAGAGAATGTATACAATTAGAAAGCCCATAATCACTCCATTCAGGGTCATTTAACACTTTGTAAAGTCTTATAGAGTTTATTATTTCTCAACTTTTAACATACTGGGATTATTCTAGATTTGGATCAAATTTTGTATAGGGTCTTTGGAGGAACAAAATATTACATGGGTGACATGAAATAAGTCCTTATCATCTAAGAAATATGAAGGCCTTGGAATTTGAAGTCTAAAATACAAAAGAACATGGCATTTTTAGCAAAATCAGGGTGGTGATTCCTAAAGCATGATGGGAGACTATGGTAGCAACTAGCAAGTAATCACTATTTTTTTTTTCTGACCACAAATATTGTCTTAATGGGATCCGATCACTTCATAAAAAGAACTAATGTTCGGGCTTTTATTATGGGTCTCCATAATCAATGCAATAATCTAAAAGTTTGCCATTAACTGCTTTGTTTTAGTAATGTATCGGTTGAAGGTGCGTGCTTAACTCTTTTCTATGATCATTGTTTCCATGGATCTTTGTTTTGGAAAATGATAAAATCTATAACATCATGGATAAAATCTTATATTTCTAGATTTTATTTTTTGCAGGTGCGGGCTTAGAGATGTGATCCATCTACGAGAGGCCTTGTGGTCAAAATCCAACACTTAACCAAATTGATCGGTACTTTATCCATCCATCTTAAAACTGAATTGTGGCAATAATACTTAAGTAGCTAAAAAATCATTACAACAGCTTTTCATGATTAGCAATCGAGGAGTCCTATTTGGAGCGATCTTGTATAGGAATGTGATGGAATATTTTAGGAAAAGTAAATGCTTTCTTATAATGTTTAAATCTGGATCACATTCCTTCTCGTTTAAACTTCTAAAAGATTGGAATTTTAAAACTCGTTTCTTCATGCGTTTTATACGAAAAAACTCTTGGTCTTTTAATGCCAATTGCAAAAGAGGTTTTAGGGTTAAGTATTCAAATGGTGGTAGTTAGGAACATTTGATTGCAATGTGTATCAAGTCTTTACTTCTTCACATGCCAATGGTATGGGATTCCTAATTTTAGAAATGAAGCCTCAATGTACGTAGTATTATGGGTAAGACTATGCTTGATCCAAAGGTTTTGAACAAAGAATACCTTTACTCGATTGATCAAATCGCACATAATGACAGACTAAATCCATAGTTTTTAATGCTTTCAAAAAAAGCCTAACCAATAACTTGCAAAACAATGAGCATCACAAAAAACTATGATCTATGTTGAGGTAGCATAATCAAGAGCCCCAATCTAAATTGAAATTTTTTACTTCTACTTGAGATTGAAGTGAAAGAGTTAAGCACATTGTTGAATGATACTAAGTCACAATAACCTCTTAGCATGTTTGACATAATGTAGTTTCTTACATCCCATATCTTATAGATATGGATTCATAGACTTGTTTGTGCCATTTGGAACCTTAAGTTCCACCAAACGTTGATCTTAAGAAGAATCCGCCTTAGCGAAGGCACACTCGAAAAACAAATGACTAGAAGTATCCACATGAGTTTCCTAGAGGGGGCATAAGATATTGTCAATGTCAAGGCCCATTCTGTCAATATGGGTCTTTTTGGGGGATTCCCTCAAGATTCAGTCACCAACCAAAATATTAACTTCGTTAGGAATCATCTTGATCTGGTTGGTGTAGTTAGAAGAAGTAACCAGAAGTTTTTCATCAATGGTACTTAAGAACAACAATCTATCCCACTTGCCTCAAAGGTTCATTAGCACGTATCTCTCTTTCTCTTTTCATTACTTTCCAAAACTTCTTTTTACATGGTCATGTCATCCTTCTAGGCTCCATCTCACCTCCATCCTCCAACAATATCCTTAATCTCCACTATTGTAATACTCCACTACTGTAGAATGAAGCTACTAATCAAGAGCACAAATTATAGGGCAAATGATTTTAGTGGAATGTTGCAATACTACAGGTCTAACCAAAAGTTTGTATCCTTCTTGTCTCCAAGTTTTTTTTTAACATAAGCACTGTTACATCTATGTTTTTGTCTTTAAGAAACTAGACAACCCTTTCGAAGGGCTAACAAGGTATCTTCTAATCTAAAATGGACTTAGCACCCTATCTACACCATGTATACTTTTAACTACACTAACTCACAAGCTATCATTCTCCATTTTGAATATCCAAATCCATTTGGAGAGCATAACCCTTGCAAACAGAAAAATAAGGTTCCCACTCCTCAACCCCCTTTATCTTTCTTTGCTAACACTTTATTCCATCTAACCCATGCCATGTGTTTATATGGACCCTTGATTCTAAATGAAATTTGTTGTGTGGTGTATAACTAAAAAAAGGTATTGGTGTTTTAGGTCGACATAGAAGAATCCTATGACACTTATATCATGGGAGTATTTGGATTTGGACGGCTCAATGACACATATGGGCTTGGTACAAAGTGAGGTAGATGGGTTAGAGCTTGCTTGCATTCATCAACCACTTCGATTTAAATTAACAGCTACTCCATGATCGAGTTTTCTACTAGATGATGCCTCAGATTGGGTGATGTTTATCGACACTTCATTATTGGTTTGTACCCCATAAACTTTCTTCACTAGTTCTAAGTGAAATAAACATTCTTTCTGGTAGGAGTGTCAATATATGATACGATACGACAAAAATACACGAGACGAAACGAAATCGAGACGAAATCAAAATATGAATTCGTGTTCGTGTCGTGTTCATGTCAAGATTAAAAAACTGATGTCGTGTCGTGTCGTGTTCGTGTTCATAAATTGACATGAAATTGACACGATTAAGCATATGGTTGTCGGGTTTTTCATGTTATATATCTTTAAGTATGAATGAAATACATTAATAGTTATGTAATATTATCTAGGGGTGAGCGTAATAACCGAAAAACCGAACTAAAACCAAATTAACCGATATAACCGAACCATTTTAAAAACTGTTGGTTCGGTTTCTAATTTTTGTTAACCGATAACTAACGGTTCGGTTAGGGTTTTATAAATTAACCGAACCATTATTAACCGAACCGCTAACTTTATATTTTAATATATATATAAAGTATAGATTATATATAAAATAATATAGTCAAACTTATTTAAGATCCATTAAAATTTTTGAAAATATAATCTATTAATCCTCACTTATCAGGAGACAAACGAGCAATCAAACCATCAAAGACTGGTCACTCAGACACACATAATCTTCCAATCATATATTGAGTTAGATTATTAATTAATGTTGTAATTCATAATAGGTTAATTCTACAATTTGTAAACATTATTCACAATTAGATTAATCTTCATACTCATAATCCTAATCTAAGGCTTCTCACATCGTTAATCCTATTCAAAGATTGTTTGGACTTTATAGTCCTATTCGAAGGATTTTTTGACTTTATAATCAAGATTTCTAGGTAAGTTAAGTTTTTTGTTCTTTTTGACTATGTGATATATTAAGAATGTATTTTTTTTTTTTTTGAATTTTTTTGATTTTTTTAATTGTTTTTGACTTAATCACATTGAATGTAGATACGCGATTGATTTTATTTTTTTATTTTTTTTTTAATCTAATAACACATAATATGAATGTTTGGCTCTTTTATTTAATATTTTAATTTAATCGTATTGAACGTGTATGAATGTTTGATTTTATTTTAATATTAATGTCAATTATCAATATATGAAATTATTAATGTCAATTTTTTTAATGTTTTATATTTTTATTGAATATTTTTGATTTTAAATGTGACTATGTGTTATCTCACTCTAAGTATTAAATGTACACATTTTATTCTATTACTATAAGTTAGGTTACAAATATCGGGGTCGATGACTTTTTGGTATTCTATTTTCAGTTTTCATGCCAAAATACTTTGGTCGTTTATATTATTTTGAACATTATGGTTAACTAATATTAACCATTAACCAAAACCGTTAATCGATAAAAACCATTAACCATAACCAATATTACCTTTACCCAATGACTACCAAAATGCATTAACCAATCATAATGGTTATGGTTTGGTTTTAATCAATAACCGAACCAAACCGCTCCATACACACCTCTAATATTATTTTTATCGTATCGTGTCGTGTTGTTGTATTTTAATTGGTTCGTTTTCGTGTTAATGAAAAAAAACACGACATCGTGTCGTGTCGTGTTTGTGTTGTACAAAAGTTGTTGTGTCGTGTCGTGTCAAACAAAAACACGACACGACTGCCCGATTTGATAGCTCTACTTTCTGGGATTGTCATTTTTTCAAATTTATGCTCAATATGTGAGGATTAGTATGAATATGAAGACAATCTCTTTCAATTATGTCCCATGACTCCCATCGGTTGGATCTTAATCTTGAACGTGTTGAACCTCGAATCCTTTAGTATTTGAAGTATCGGCTGCCTTTTTATCATGGCAAAAGATCTCCATCTCTTGGTCCCTCAAGCTACTTGCTTCACGGTGCAATCCTCTCCTGCGTGTGGGCTATTTGGAAAATCTGAATTCTAAAGGCTCGTGCTGAGGTGGTTTCCTCACACAACTTTATTGCGGATGAGGTGTAAGTTTTCTCATTTCTTTGGATCAATAGACGTACGAAATGTAGTGATATTAATTGGTTCAACCCATGTAGTAATCTTGGTTGGGAGTGGTCTGTTGTGTTTATCTCCAAGCTCCTCCATATTTAAATATGTTTGTGCTTTGTACGTTAAAAACTGTTTGATTAAGGTTATATGAAAATATTGATCCTACAATCTAGCTATTAAAGTACAAGTAATTTCTTTGGTGGTAAAGAAAAACTCCACTGAGAAAACCGATCTCATAACAGTTGTTGAGTAAATGATCTAGATTGATTTTAAGTTTACCTGAATGATGGCAATACATAAGACATCACCGCGTAAACCCACGATAAGAGAACAAACTGCCATCGATGCTGGTGCTACCACAAACCTCAGTAGCATCCCAAATGCAGCTAAGGTTGCACCACAATCAATTATCTTTCGTTGTAATGCCATGAACAATCCTGCATGTACATACTAAAAGCTTAGCATATCCTTCTTTAAGTTCATGTGAACAGAGAAAGGAAGGAGATATGCTAATTTTATAAACCGGATTAGCAATATGCAGTAATGTGCCATGAAAGGAAGTGAAAACTCTCACCCATGCAAAACATGGCAAGACCTGAACCAGCTCTAGACATTATCAATACTGATCCTTCCACAATGCTAGGCATTTTTAAATCCCACCTGGAGTAGATATGTACGCAATTGCAATCTATTTAGAATAATAATAATACATGATAAACAAACTCAATCTGTTTACAAATTAAACAAGTTAAGTTACCTGTAGGATACTAGCGCCCAAGCAAGACCAAGGATGCATGCATACGAGTTAGGGTTCTTAGCGAGTTTTAACCCCACAATCTTCATTAAAATAAGCAGAGATGGTCTTGAAGGTGTGGTAACCTCTTCATTATTGCCTTCCAGATCCCTTGTTGTAACTGCTACCGAATCATCAAACGATTTGTTTGCACTCCAGAACTCGTACATCAACAGTAAGGATATAATCCACACTGTGAATTGCAAAATGGAGTATTGGATGACAAGGTTTTCACCAAATGTTCCATACATTGCTCGAATAAGAGGCACCCCTACAACAAGTGTATTACTCAAGCTTGACAAAGAGAAGCTTGTGATTGACCACGGATAGTTTCCTTTCGTAGTGAACTTAGCCCATGATGATATTATTATGATGATTAGGGCTTTGGAGATGGCATCTGCCCCTAGGAAACGGAAGTTCATTTTATATGGATTGACGCGAGTTGTGAAGTTAAATTGGAAGAGAGGCATGATAAAGTAGCAATTGAGCTGGTTTATTGCATCACAATGGTCGGGATTAAACATATGCCACCACTTCACTGAGCCATAGCCTAACATTAGTGCCACATAGAGTGGAAACATTGACGTTATTACCTTGTAAATGTCATCCCACCCTATCATTTTTCAGTGTGTGTGGGTTGTCTTTTTCTTGGAGTTGCTTGTTCTGCAGAAAATGAATCAATGAGTTTGTTTATATATAGTGCACAAGGAGGTGACACTAGTGCACATACCTAAGTTTGTTGAATGGAAGGAACTTGGAGGTTTCAGTAGCATCTTTATGGGACTCCACAAAGTCTTTTTTCCGTTTTTTTCACAAACCTTTGCTGGTTTAGGAATCTTTACATCTGCTCGTGGGATTCTTCGGAATCACACGAAAGGTTTTCCGAATTTTCTTTAGCTTCCTGCGTTACTAACGCAAAAACCAAAGAATTACTCAATAATGCGCTAAATGCACAATTGTTGATAGACTATTCTCTAAAGACACATTAAAATGTGCAAGCTTGATCATCTAAAATGATGTGGAATGCATTTCTTGCAAAAGCATCCATATGAATCTTCAAAAACATAAAGCACTTGCAAAAATCCCAACAACACAAGTCAGAGGGTGTTAAAATCGTACATTTAACAAAATTCCAACTTATCAATCACCCGTTATCTCAAACCATAAAAAATATTAGTAGTTTAGAATTTTGTTTATGAGAACTAAATAAAAGCTTTATGTGGCATTTAAGAAGGTGATCCAAATAATGAAATAAAGATCGAGTATGAATACTATTAATTAAATCACAGAAAACAAGAATTAGTAATTCACATTGACATCACATTAATAAATTAAAAAAAAAAATCAGAATTGGTCACACAAAAATGAATAGGTAAGATCTTATGAAAACTTATGCCTTTAATACTTTATGTAAGTGAGTACAAGGCTCTAGGGCAAAGTCAAGACATAAAAACATTTAATTAGCAAAACGGGAAATCGTAAATTGTCAAATTGATATTACCGGAGATTGTAGAGAAAACGCAGGCATGCGCAACTGATAACTTGGTAAGGCGATTTTGAATACTCCAAACTCCAAAGCCAAAGAGAAAAAAGACTATTGATTAAATCGTGAGAATTAAGACGTGAGAGCTTAGATACAGAGGACTAGAATAGACGAGATGGCAATTTTTATTTTTGATTTAGACTCCAAAGCATAGCACACTTGATACAGATTGGCAGGACGATAGGATTATAGACGTAAAACATGGCAAACGAATGGAATTGCCTGATTTGTCTCCTCGTCTTCTGTTCTACGTGCCCATATCTTTCCTTATTGACTAAACTGCAAATTTGGTTCCTGTTGTTAGCAAAAAAAAATGCGGATGAAGTCCAAAAAATTTCCAACTTGCACCATTGGTCTAAAATTACAAATTTTTTGAAATGTCTTTTTTACCCTTTTAGTTTCTTTTTTACATTTTTTATATTTATTTTAATTCATTTTTAATTTGAAATTTAATAATAAAAAAATTATCCAACCCCCCTCTTCCTTCTTCCCCCTTCTCTCTCTCATCCCAAAAAAAACTAGATCCACCTAAATTCACATCCCCTTATCTTAATTTCATCACCAACATCACACTCCATCTCCACCTTAGATCCACTAGAAAATCAACAATGCTCATTGAAATAATGCCTCCCACCTGGTGCGATGATTTGTGAACAAAGACGCGAGAATGAAGCTGCAGAGTGAGAAGCAAAGAACACAAAATGAGACCATTTACGATTATTGAGGATGGGGAGTGAAATCAATGGTGGTTCTAAAAAGCTAAAAATGTTTCAAAATCATCAAAAGTGATTTTGTAATCCTTGCGAGGAGCTTGAGCAGTTCATGAAAAATGATGTCAAGTGTTGAAAAGCAGATGACAAAAACTCATTTATTGAAACCCAATGGAACGACACCAAACGTCTTAACCAAGAAAGGAACATTAAGAACCAAAATATATAAGGATACCCAAGAAGGATGACTACAGAAGGGTTCTCGAATCTCGGTTATTCCTGATACGATCCAATTTTTTCATAATAAGGTCGATGTATTTGGTTCCAATCCCTTTATTCATCCTTCACAAATTATTACGGCTCCAATTTGTTAATCACAGACTTGAAAAATGGATGAAAAACCAGAAAATATATATTACTAGTTTTTGGAGATAACATCCCATATCTTTGAAACTCATGTTAGAAGGATGAATACTAAATGAGAAAAACATCTTCTTCTTTAGATTAAAAAACCCACCTCATTCTTCTGTTTGCAAGTTAAAGGACATGAAATGAAGAGGATGAAGGTTGCTGACATATATCCAAGCGATTTATCTGAGATTAGTTGGGTTTTTTTTTTTTTTTTGTTTAAAAGGGCTTTTTGTTCATATGCATTTATGAGTTTTGATTTGCAAAATAGTGATGAAGAAGAGGACTGAAAAGAGAGTCAAAAAGAGAATAAAAAAGATAGGGACGGTGGAAGTGGGTATGGTGGAGAGGGGTAGGGTGAGATTTTATTTTCTATTTTCTTATAAGTATTTAAATATTTAAATAAACAAAAAATATGTAAAAAGTAAATGATAAGGGTAAAATAGTCTTTTCAAATCCATCAGGGACCAAATCCACGGAAAATTTTAGATTTTGGATCTTTCATGCAAGTCGGAAATATTTTAGACCTTATCTACATATTTTGTGAAACCACAAGGACCAATTTCGCAGTTTAATCTTCCTTATTCTACGTGCCCCTAACATTAGGATGTGCCAACTAATGGGGACCGAAACCCCAACAAAATGGAACTTAGATGTGGTTTTTGGTTCCTTGAATCTACATTTTTCCGTTTCCATATTTTCAAGTTCCGAATCTGTTCGGTTTGCTTCACAAACCGAACTCCTTAGCCATGGGCCATAACGGTGATATCCTTGGACGGCCCTAAACTTATGTTAAACTAAAAATAAATCATATGGTCGCATAATAGAGGGATTTAAATTTTCAAATAAATTAGATAAAATTTTCAGGCAATTAGTGTTAATTTTCCGGCTTGCAACCCCCAAAATCATATATGCTATACCTTAGACTTTATCATGATTTGCCCAAATTACATACATACATACATACATACATACATACATACATACATACGTACGTACGTATGTATGTACATACGTACGTACATACATATATATACATACATACATACATACATACATGCATGCATGGATGCATGCATGCATGCATACATACATACATGCATACATACATGCATACATACATACATACATACATACATACATACATACATACATGCATACATACATACAGGGCAGTCCATAGGTTTTTGTTGCCCTCGGCCATGAGGCTTAACAATGCCCCTATATATGTACAAAACTATGTAAAACAAAATCTAAAACAAACTAAACACATCTTTTTATTTATAAATTCATATTCAGATAAACTAAAAATCTCAGTAAGACTAAAAACCACATATTAAATTGTTCTATACAACATTAATACTATTTAAGGATCATAAAACCTAGCCATGCCTCATCATAGAAGTAATCATGAAGTGATTACCCCCCCCCCCCCCCCCCCCCGATCTTCAAAGTGAACAACTTGATCAAGTCTGAAATATCAATAGTGAAGGAAGGCATTGAACTATCAAATTAGAAAAATCTCATCCCTTGACAATATGCGCTAAAAGAGATTTGTACAGGATCATTGCACTTATTAGATACATCAACATTAAATATCAAACCACATGATAAAAAGAAGGGAAAATGACATTTGATAATAGAAATTCAAAGTAGTTCTAGGCAATTTTTAAGTTAAACTTTTGTAGCTAGCTAACCAACTAAGACCATGTTATTGATTTAGTACTTGATAAACTGCTAGCTTTCAATCATCAAATCATGGGTGTAAAATATATATTCATCATAATTCATGAAGAAACTTATTTTAGATGTCAAATGTATCATTTGAAAGGAAATATGTAGAGAACCTATGGTTATTTAGTTGGGTTTGGAAAAACATTTTGTTGAAAAATCTCGAATCTTAAACTAGAAAAAGATAACAGTAGGGCCTATTCAATTCTTTGAGATAATATTTTTTTTGTTTCAAAATTACTCACCAATATCTAATAGCATTTATTCACCCAATGGCAATGTGCGGTCTCCATAGGAGCTAACATTAAGAAAATTGAAAGGCTTCACAACAAACAGGAGGCGGTGAGAAGTCAAGAAATAGAGAAATCAGAACTTGAAATTAATGAAATTAGAGTATTTAAAAATCAAAGATCGACTCATAAACACTGTGGGATCTATGTAATCGACTGATAAGTGAGAAATTTGAAATTTGAAAGCATAATATATTCAGAGAGAAATCGGTTCTTACTTCTAATTGAGGAGGAGATCGACAATTAGAAAAAGTAATAACGACATTTGAAATCGATGAATGTATTTCTAGGCATTGAGTTCTCCAATCAACAACAAATGGGTGTGGTTCTACGCATATATCAAATGGCATTTCGTTTTTCAAGGAGCCTTTTACGACGGCCAGTCTCTTGAGTTGTTTTGTGCCCTTGCTTCCCTTCTTGCGACACACGATAGAAATCAGACTCACAAGATACCGGGCTAATTTTTCTAACCAATATTACATATATTATAAATGATTGGACTAAACTTATGCCCCACAAAAAATTTGTTGCCCTGGGCCTTAGCCCAACTCGCCCATGTATTGTGTCGGCTATATATATATATATATATATATATATATATATATATATATATATATATGTGTGTGTGTGTGTGTGTGTGTGTGTGTGTGTATATATATATATATGTTGGTTCCCTTTGAGAATAAAAAAAATTAGAGATTGTGAGATATGTGTATAACCGTTTGATTTGCTTATGTTTGTCTCTGAAGCTATGCGGTGGCATATTTGTAATTATGTTGGTAACTTATTAAACTAACACCGTTAATTTACGATTGTGGGGCTATTGTTGTAATTTTACAAAGATTGAGATGAATTTTGCAGGCTACGATACTGTAACCGCCTATTGTTTTCTTTTCTTTCTCGATCAAAGTCTCAATTCGAACTCTCATGAAACCCTCTTTTTCTTTCTTTATCTCATTTTGCCCTAGTTTTCGTTTCTTACTTGTTATTGAGAAATCAGTAAATGTCTTCAGGAGAAAATATAAACGAAGTTGCATCTTCCTTAATCGAAATGAAAGGTTATAATGGAAGTTATTTGTCATTTTATTGATAATGCATGTTTTTATTAATTAGTTAACTGTCGTTTTATGTTGATAATGGTGTTTTTTGTTTTGATTCAATAGGTTTTTCATCATTTTAACTTGATTTTGATGATTGTCTCGTTTAGAGTTGATATGTTTTTTATTATGTTTGTTTGTGGTGGTTTTTTATGTAAGTTTTTGTTTATATTTTCACAGATAAGGATTTCAAAAGAAACTATGTTCGAAAAAAATTCAAAAATCAGAAAAATATCGAATGCGGTAGAAGTGTTGTTATTTCCGAATGTATAGTTCAAAAAAAATCATCTATGATTAGAAGTAGAAATAAACATATAACTTCCTGTTTGAAGTTATTTGTTGTAATCATAACTGATTTTTTTTATTTTTTCAGTGTATTGAACATAACATTTAGTTATATGTTTATTTTTACTTCTAATCATAGATGCTTTTATACGTTTGTATATAATCATTGGTAACTAGTAATGATAAATGTATTTTTATGTATCAAACATGAATATAAAGTTATTTTTGTAATCATAACTGATTTTGTGGTTCTTTTAAGTGGATTGTATATAACATTTAGTTTGTATTTTTATTTGTTGTTCTGCTTATAATCATTAGTGAATAGTAATGATAAATGTATGTTTTAGTTTTTACTAACACTATTTTTGTAATGAAAATTGTATTTAAAAAAAGGGAATGTAGATAGCTCAAGGAAGACACGGTCATCTTCCAAAAGAGAGAAGGCGAATGAGGTGTCACAAACACGTAAAAGTACATCCAAAAAAATAGTTATTGAACAACCAAAAGTGAAGCTGAGGGTTAAGGTCAAAACTGTAAGTAAGAAACGTGAACTATCTGATGAAGATGATTCAGATTTTCAGATTCATCCTGGATCTTCAAAGAAACCAAACAGAGAAACTAAAATTTTGAAGAAAGATAAAAAAAAAAAAAGCGTTGAAGATTTTTTATTATGTTCTTAATCATTTTAATTTTGAATCTTTGAAGGTGGAGTTTGATAATTGTGAAGTTAGTGTTGATAGTAAGTCTGTTCAAAAGATGTTAGGATTACCATTTGGTGGCTCATTACTTTAAAATATGGATTACATTTCGGAGAATAATGAAGAGTGTTGTATGTTTGAGAGGAAGAAACAGTATTAAAATATTGATAAATTGAGATTGAAACAGCTAAAGAATGAACTTGTTCAAACTAGTGCTGCGGATGACAACTTCAGAATCAATTTTTTGGTTCTTTTTATTAATACTTTTTGTGAGTCTACAAGCATGGGTAAATGTAATCTGAATCCATTGTATTTAATCAGAAGAGATACTGATTTAAGTAGCATTGACTGGTGCGATTACATTGTGGATTGTTTGGTAAGGACAAAGAAGGTTTACAATCCAGAGAAATAATCTTCTTTCTTTTATGGACCAGCATCATACCTTATGGTACGTGAGTTATTTTTTGATATTTAGTATTCTTGTTAGTTGTAAAAATATGTTTGTTTTTATAATAAATCATATATGATTTTATCACATACAATCATATATGATTATGTAGTATAATTTTTGTTTAATTATATATTACACATCAAAATCATATATGATGTTATATATGTTATGATTTTATATATGTTTTTTGTAGTTGTTATATGTGGATACTTTCAAGTTTGATCATTTGCAAGTCACACGTAAACGTCCAACTATTTTTTATTGGATGTCAGAGAAGATAAGGTTTCTTGAGGATATTTTACAAGAGAGTGGAGGATTTGGATGTGGACATGTTAATGAAGCATATCTGGAAGAAGAATTTCAAGAATCTGAGTATAATGAGGAGGAATCTGGTGGTGATGAGGTTGAATCTGATAGTGAAGAGGATTTATGTGATGAGGATGAACAAGATTTTGATGTTAATAAAGTTAGTGATGTGGAGGTAATTCTATAGTTTTATTCATTTATGATTTAATTAGTTTATTCATTTATGACTTCTTATGTTTAAGTATTTTAGTTGTAAGTATCTTTTTTTCTTATGTAGGTGTATGAAAGTAAAATTTCATGTATGTATCAGAAGATGGAGGATTTGAAAAAGGATCTTGTTGTAAAGACAAATGAGGGAGTGTTGAAGTTTCCTCAAAGTAAAAATTTGAAGAATTGGAAATTATTATTTCATGTTGAAGATTTAAGCACAGAAACTTTTGATTTCTATTATGTTTCACAAAAATATAAAGAACTGATATTAACACCTGGTTTTGTTCAAGTTAATGATGAAGATTATGGGAATGATTTTCTTAATGATGATGAAAATGTTGAAGATTATGATCAAGGGAAATGTTCTGGTGGTCAGGGGGATGGAAGTGGTCCACATGAGGGCAATATTGGTAAAAATCACGTTGAAGGTAAAGGTGATTATGATGAAGATGATGAACAAGGAAGTGGAAGTGGATGTAATAAAGAAGAGGACATGAATTTAAATTCTATTGTCGAAAATGTTACTAAGAGTGTGGGTCTAATTGATAGCCAGGAAGGTGTATCTTTTAGTCAATTTATTTGCGATCAAGTTGTTGAAAGTTTTCTTAAAACTTTGGGTCAAGGTAGGCATATTTTATTATTATATATAGTTTAATCATATGATTTTAATTTTTTATATTTGAATTTTATAGGTACTAATGGTTGTTTAAATCAAAAACTAGTTGAAGATGATGTGAATTTGAATTTGAATGGTATTCATGATGGTAAGTATTTATTTATGTATTTGTAATACATAAAATATATATATATAAATATGTTATATAGATTATTCATTTATGATTTTAATAATTTAGGGACTGTAAATTTGGGTGAGGATGATCATAAGAATAAAGTAATTTTAGATCGTAATATTGATAAAATTATTGTAGCAAAGAAGGACAGAGACAGTGAAGATATTGAAGATTGTTCAAATAAAAATAAAGATGGAGGTAAATTGTTTATAATTATTGTTTATTCATATATAATTGTGTTTATAATTATTGTTTATTCATATATGATTTTTATAATTTTATTGGGTAGAAAATGTTGAAGATTTTTCAAATAAAAACAATGATTCAAATGAGACTCGATCATTGAAAAATGATATTGTTCCAAGTTTTAGTCTTGGATTTAGTCAAGATTCTGAAGGTTCCAAGAAGTCATCTTAAAGTCAAATTTCTTCTGAACGGATGACAAAGAAAAAGATTAAGGATAGAGTTATTTTGGGAAACCCAAGTGCTAGTCCAGAGTGTGTTATTCCAAATATGGATGTTATTGATGCTAGTCCAGTTTCTTTTGCACCCCCTTTGGGTACATTAGAAGGACCATCAAAACCTGTTTCTGGCAAACATAAAGATATAAATGAAGAAGCAATCTCAGTAGTGGATGTCAAAGGAAAGAGACAAATGAAGTTTTCTTATGTTTATAAGTCACCATTTAAGGAAAGGTTGATTGATTTTAAACCTAGTTTGATACAAGTAGAAAATGTTGTTTGTGAATGGCTTTTCAGTCTTCAAGGAAATCCAGGGTAATTTTTTTTAATATAATTTTTTATTTTTATAATTATAATTTTTTCTTTTAAATAACATTTAAATAAATATATATAGGGATATTGTATTGCTTACGGAAACATATGTTATTAGGTTTAGAGCTAATTATGAAAGTCTTTATAAAAAGCCCATTTGCATGTTAGTGTTCTTGACTCATGGTCTCGTATACTATATCATGAAGAGAAATTCAGAGGTGTTAATTCTCCACTGAGACTGTTCATGAATTCTAACACTGTAAGTTTTTATTTTATTATTAATAATTTTTTTATTAAATATTTACATGTTTTTATATAATAATTTATGATTTTCTTTTATTACAGACTTTGTTAGTTGAATATACACATTTGAATGAAACTGGAAAATATAAAGTTTTCAATGAGAGCTTTTCTCGCAGTGTTTGTGGTGATAGAGACTTGAAGGTTTTGAAGGATGTTGACATTGTATTATATATATATATATATATATATATATATATATATATATATATATATATATATATATTATTTCTAATATTATACATGTTGATGTTAAGTATTTTTCACGGTTTTGAAGCATGAGCACATATATCTTATTGTTATGAATTTGAAGAAACGTGCTTTTGAGGTTATTGATAATGGTGCAGATGATGTTGATTTCGATGATAAGTATGGTGCAGTGTTTAAACTTCTTGTAAGTTTCAAATGACATTTATTCTTTAAATTTGAAATCATATATGATATATGTTATAATTATTATACTTATATTTTTCTGACTTGAAATCATATATGATTTTCAGAAAAAGTCTTTTTTGAAGTATCTAAAAGAGATCGGTCATGTTAAAGCAAATGAAATGGCTGATAATAGTATTACTCTAGTAAGATTTACAATGTCATGGAGGACAGTTTATAACTAAGTGGATTGTGGAGTTTTTGCTATGAGACATATGGAGAGTTATTTTGGAGAAAAAGGTTCTAAATGGAAATGTGGTCTTCCAAAAGAAGGTGGTTCTCAAGAAAAAATTCTGGAAAAGTTGAGAATGAAATATGCAGCAGCAATCTTAACTTATGAGATTAATACAAAGAGTGATGATGTGTTGAAAGCTGCATATGAGTATCAAAAAGTTGATCAAAAGATTTGTGGTAAGCATGCATATGATGCTCAATGGAATATAGAAAGAAGGTTGTCAAATTTTTTTTGATTGAGTATTTTCTGATTGATGATATTATAAGAACAAGGTTGTTTATGTTGTGTATGTTATAGATATTGTGAAGAATGTTTGTTTTTATGATGATGGAAAACATGGTGATGGAAAACAAGTTAATATGTATTTTGGTAGATTTTATTATCTAAGTTTGTTTGTGTGAATTATGTTATTGAATGTTAATCATAAGTGATTATATTAGATATGTAGTAAAGACTTGTTAGGTTCAATGGAGATAATCTTTGTAAGTAATGGTGGAAGACTTCTTGGAGTCAGCTACAATATGTATGAAAATCTAACTAGGAATATGAAGAACAAGAATCTTGGAAAATGGAGAACTTGATATTTGAGACTTGTGAAATTGTTTATTATTGAATATTTTATCATGTTTGATGTTATTCTATGATGATGAATATTGTTATCTTTAGATTTTTTATTAGTAGTGTTGTTTATTTGTTAGGAACAATGTTGTTGTATATGGTTATATGTAATGGTTAGATGTTTTTTATGTGTAATCATATTTTTAATTACTTATGATTAAACAAAACATATGAAGTAGTATTACATAATATTTTATGATTTTACAGATGAATAATGTATATGGTTGTGCGTAATGATTACATGTATTAAATAATAGTTATATGTAATCTTAAATGCCTGTAGTAACATTTAATAAAAGTTTAATCATGAATAAATATATTATCAAATCAAAGAAAGAATTATCAAAGTAGATTAAATCCAGAAGACAAAATCAAGTAAATTCTGTTTTATAAAAAGAGTAAAGTGTACTAAACAAAAAGTATATTATTTTGAAAAAAAAAATATGACTTATTCATTACTGATTAAAGCAGTAAATATCTATGTAGCTTTTGATGATTGTTCTACTGCAAGTTTGATTGGGCATGTCCGCAAGTTATGAGGAGCCCTTTCTCCACATCCTGAGCATCTTCTTCTTTTCTTGTTTGAATTTTTATACGCTATTTCTGCTGCACTTTGAATTCTACTTTTCTTTCCGCATCCTTTATTGCTTTGAATATTTGGAACATTGATGTCAATGTCTTTTGGAATAGTTTGGCCCATAAGCTTTCCTACCTCTTCAACATTTGTCCTATTTTTCTGCAATTCATTTGTAGGATCGTTTTCATATTCCTTCAGCATGCTTTCTGTTTTCTTAACAAACAAATCCCTTTTTTCTTTATTTTTCTTACGTATTCCAAACATGCTTCAAAGTTGTAGTATGCTTGATTGACAGATCTGTTAATTTCACTGTCTCCTGTATCATATACATGTCTACCAAAATTATAATGCCTTGATATCACATCCTTTCTCCAACGATTCTCAATGTATTGTTCAGGTATCTCCTTAATTCCATGTTTCATGAGTATGTTGAACGCATGTCTGCACAAAGTCCCAAAGCGGTTGAAGTGTTCACATGTACATTTTACATCATTTGTTGGAAGTTTTATTTCTACCTGTTCAAAATAAAATTAAAGCATTTAGTGTTTTATAATCATAAATGAATATTTTTTTTATATTATGTGCTGATTCAACAAAAATGAAAATAAGAATATATTACCTCAAATTCTGTTTTTAGATCATTGTTTTTGTTCAGTTGTTCTACTTTGTATAACTCCCATTCATTTTTTGTTGCAAGATGTTCGTATTGGCAGTACCAGCAACCTTTATAAATTTCTTTTTGTACTTCATAAAACAATGTACTTGTATAAACTTTTGCAACATGTTTTTCTATTGGTCGTGGTGAAATAAATTTATATACCGCCTTCTTTGTTTGATGATCAAGCTCTTGTTGTGTATTTCTTTGTTTTTGAATTGTTGTGTCATAGCTCATCATGAAATATAAAAGTAAATTTCCAGATTAAGAGTAAGTGTTGAAGAAGCAATTCATGCTTTCTGATCTTGAAGTGGTTTTCATCAATCCAGACATTCTTGTGTCACTGAAGTATGCAGGTATCCATTTGTCATGTAATTCAAACATATCATTGAACCATATTTTATCTTCCAGATTGAATTCATTAATGATCAAATCCCACTTCTTTTCAAATTCATCAGGTTTGATATGCATGTTCCAAACAAGCTTGTTAAATCTTTTCTTGAAGTCTTTGTTTTTAAATAAATCGCAGTAATCTATGAATGAACATTTTTGCTTATATAAATATAAATTATATACGTATTTCGATATATCATATATGATTAATCATATATGATTGCTGTAATATAGGATATACCATCTATGATTGATCATATATCATATATGTACTGTAATCATATATGTATAATCATATATGATTATTTAATCATATATGATTAATCATATATCATATATGTACTGTAATCACATATGTTTAATCATATATTATTATATAATCATATACAATTAATCATCTATCATATATGAGTAATCATATACGATTACTGTAATGTAGGATATATCATCTATGATTAATCATATATCATATATGTACTATAAAAATATGTGTTTAATCATATATTATTATTTAATAATATATGATTAATAATATATCATATATGTACTGTAATCATATATGTTTAATCATATCTGATTATTTAATCATATATGATTAATCATATATCATATGTGTACTGTAATCATATATGTTTAATCACATATGACTAATCATATATCATATATTTACTGTAATCATATATGTTTAATCATATATCATATATGTACTGTAATCATATATGTTTAATCATATATGATTAATCATATATCATATATGAGTAATCATATATAATTAATGTAATGTAGGATATATCATCTATGATTAATCATATATCATTTATGTACTGTAATCATATATATTTAATCATATATGATTATTTAATCATATATGATTAATCATATATCATATATGTACTGTAACTATATATGTTTAATCATATATGATTACTATAATGTAGGATATATCATGTATGATTAATTATATATGATTAATCATATATCATATATGTATTGTAATCGTATATGATTAATCATATATGATTATATAATCGTATTATATAATCATATATGATTATATATTGTATCATCATAATCATAGTATGATATATGATAACTTATATTATTATAATAATATATGGTTAATCATATATAATCATATATGATTATATAATCATATTATTAACATACTTAATTATACATCATTATATCAATCATATATGATTAATCATATATGATTAAGTATTTTAATAATATGATTATATAATTATATATGATTATATAATGTATTATCATATTACATACTATGTAATCATATATGTTTATACAATATGGTATCTGATAATTCATATTATTAGAATAGTTAATCATATATGATTAATCATATATGGTTATATGGTATGATATCTGATAAGTCATATATGAATCATCTGTCATAATACTATATAATCATATATGATTATATAATGCGTTTTTATTATACCTTTGCTTGCAGTTTTTTCATTATGTGCCGCATGCATAGTCTGTGTCTTGAATTTGGTAAGACATATTCCACTGCTTGTTTTATTGTTGTAATTTGATCAGTTAGAACAATTTTTGGTGCTTTCCCTTCCTGAGCTCTAAGAAAAGCTTTAAGCAGCCATTCATACAACTCAATTGTCTCTCTACTTAGCAACCCAACACCAACAGTAACTGATTTCTTGTGGTGGTCAACTGATGTGAATGGAACAAATACCATTTTATACCTATATAAAGAAAATGTGTTTAGTACAATCATATTTGATTAATAGTATGTTTGAATTTATATACATTAACTTACTTGTTTGTTCTAAAAGTTGCATCGAAAGATATAACTTCTCCAAACTCTGCATAAAAGCCTTTTTTCTTTCATCTGCCCAAAACATAGCAGCCAACAGATCTCCATCACGTTGGAACTCATATGAATAATTTAGGTAATGATCTCTATGATCATTCATTTTGTTTATCATTATTTGAGCATCCTTGTAACATAAGATTATATTTACTCATCTCCTCAAGTTTTTGTAGTCTGTTACTTTCGCCCCTACATATTCATATCCTCCTTTCAAAACTACTCGTATTTTGTGAGCCATTGTGGGACCAATTTTAGCATTTGATGCACGTATTACAAACTCTTTTTCAGAATATGACATATTTCTTGCCTTTTTCGTATAAGGTCATTCCCCACTACTTTCCAGTGGGTGGTTGTGTATTTCAAAGAATTTCTTAACTTTGTAATTTGTTGTTCCATAAACATTTTCAAATATAATCTTTGTTGTACACCTAATAATTATCTTGTTTGAATTTGGTTTCCTCTTGACAGAACTTGTAGCCAACGTATCACAAGGTTTTGGTTTATCCTTGCCACCCCTATTGCATATAACATATTTTTCTTTTATTATTTGGCTATTGTATTTTGATTGGCTACTCAGTCTTGTATGAAAACCTACCATTTCTACATAATCATTATACATTTTTACTGCCAAATTTAGTGATTTGAGAACACTGTTTACAACTGGTACAAATTTTGTAGGGACATCTGGTTTATATTCAAATTCTTCAATTATGTTACTGCAATATGATTCATTTGTTGAATTGGAACTTTCACCTGATAAAAGAAGGGAATGAAAAATATGTTATTATATAATTTTATGTTGTAATAATCATATGTGATTGATCACATAATATACTGTGTAATCATAAATGATTATACGTATCAATTTATAAATAATCATACTTGATATTGTTTAATCATGTATGATTAATCATATGTATTTGTAGTTTGTAATATATGATTAATCCTGTTTTATGATGTATAATCATATATGATTATTCATCCAAATGTAATATTAATATAGATTTCAATTTGAAAACATATATGATAAATCAGAATTACAGACTATAAATACATATGATTAATCATAGATATGAACAGTCATATATGATTATTCATCCTTATATGATTAAATCACATATTGTATTGTATAATCATATATGATTATTCATAATTTATATTGTATAATAAAAGAATCAGAATGAAATGTAGAAACTGTCATGTAATATGTAGCATTAAAACGAATTAGTTGTACCTTCAATACGAATCGTATTTTGATGTTCTTCAGAAGTGAAAGAAATTGAATCGATTTGTTCCTCTTTAGGATATGAATTGATTTCAGCTATAATAGTATCTGTTGCGATTAACTTGTCAATTTCTTTTGGATGCGACATCATTTATGAAATTTGATTTTGATTCGATTTTCAAATGCTTTGTTTACATTGCGAGGTGCTTGTTTCTTCGATTTGAGGTTTATATCTCGTATTTATGAGGATATGAACTGATGCTC